AAAATAGATGGCAGCCAAGTTGTTACATACTCGAGCTGAATACCTATAATCTTTATTTCAGGCTTATAATAAGAAGTTCTAGCAAAATTACCTTATCAACTTCACAAAATCTTGTATTTTTTTATGCTAATCAAAAGTATATTAAATGCCCAAAGACACTTACCACTATGACCTTCAAGAGTTTGATTCACAGAAAGATTGCTAGGAGCTGCAAGTCCCTTTATTTTTGCTTCATCTAAAAATAACAAAAATAGCTATAAAATAAACCTAATAGAGACATAGTAATATGTGTGCTTTATCAATACTGCTGCTCTAATTACTATTTACATAGATAAAATTATTCACCTAAAAGTATGTAAATGCTAACTGCTGGATGAATTTTCCACCCCTCAGTTCAATGTGTTTGCTATTCACATTTGTCATCCAAATTCTTATACCCTTTATAGTCTAAGCAGTTTTTCAGGAAAAAAACCAACAAAACGAACAAAAAGCCCCCACAATAAGAACTATGGCTATCACATTTTGTTACACTCAGAAAAAGGTTTAAAAGAAATCAAAAATATATTAGATTTTACTTTTCTTGGAACGTATTTATTAAAGAAAAAATACACAGCTTTCTGCCTAAAATAATGAAGATGGCAGAGAACATTCAAACAAAATCAAGAAATAACGAAATAAGTTCCAAACTAAACTGGAAGTGTATACAAAAAGAACAAGAATGAAACATACGCCCTGAAAAAGAAGAAGCACTGAAGAAAACATCAGCAGATATAACAGGTAGACAAATTACATGTGTGCCATGTAAGACAAGCTGGAGGAAAACAGTGTTCAAAAGAAAGTGACAGGACATGTGATGTTTATGCAAATACATTACTATCTATGTACAGACTTAAAATATATGCAATATTGTCAAGTAACTTGTGGAAGGAGTTATGCTTTCTGAAGCGTGATGGATTTTGTTCTTTAAAAAAAAAACACAAAAACAAAAGCAACTCATTTACCCGTCTGTGTTTCTAATTTTAAAACTTTCAGTAATCCATCCTCTCCACCACAGGCTATGAAACCTTGATCCTTATTCCAGGAAATACATCTTAATCGAACATTACCAGGAATTGCAATCTGAAAAAGAAATATCTTATATCTCTACATAGTTGTAAGAGTCATGTTTGATTTTAAAATACTCTATCTGAATACCTCAAAGATACCTATGACAGCACACAAGAAAAACTTCTATCAACAGATCAGTACATGCAAAAAGAGACAGAAGACAATTGGAATTACAAGCACTAGTGAAACTGTGCAACACAACAAATGAGAAAAGGGACTGTCTAACACATGCAGTAAATAATAACAGGACATCTTCAAAGGTGTGCAGAGAAGGTGCCATGAGCAACAAAACAGGTGAGAGGGATCACGCAGTGCACAGGGCTTTGCCACGAGCTCCAACTGAAGAGCCACGTCCAAACTCTCCTGGGGAGCAAATGCTGAGGAGACAGCTGAAGACCAAAGAAACCCCAAACCCAGGCCGAGAGGCAGCTGGCAGGACACAGCAGGACAGCACTCCGGGCAGGGACCAAGCCCATAGCCGCACTACCAGCGCCAGCAGAGCCGCAGGCAGCGGGAGGGAGCCCCGAGGGGCCCCCTCAGCGCCTCGAGGCCTCCGCGCGCGCAGTTCCCGGGGGCTCCCGGGTAGAGGCGAGAG